TTATATGCTCAGTTACAGAGCTGTGCTGTCTTGTAGAGTAGCTACTAACTAGTGGCTATTTAAATTTCTGTCTTATTTTATTAAAATTACATGAATGCAAAACCCACTTCTTTAGTCATTCCAGGTACTTCAAGTGTTCAGAGTCTTCGGTGGCTAGTGGGTAGGACCATGCAGATAATAGAACATTTGTGTCATCAGAGATAGTTCTGTTGGACAGTAATGTTACAGAATGTCATCCTTAGAGAAAGAAGACTTTAGGAAAAGTAAGAAACATCTTGAGGCAGATGTACTATTATCTGTCCAACATTAAAGATAGTTTAGTGCTAACAAAGATTTGATCAAAGGAGAAATTGAGGGATTGCTCTTAGCTTCAGAGGGACCAACCCAGGAAAGGGCACATTCATTCTCATAGCCTTTGTGTTGCACTTAGATCTTAAGCTCTTTAAGAGATTGGAATAAATTGATACATAGAGTATCTAAACCACTGAAGAGGGTCTGAATCAGATGAAAATACAGCACAGACTCAAAAACTGATTGGTTGCTAGGCATGGTGGCAAACACCTATAATCCCAGAGACTCGGGAAGTTGAAGAAAGAGGATCCAAAATTCAAAGCAACTTAGGCCTCAAGCAACTTAGTAAGACCCTATCTCAAAAATTTAAAAGATTGGGAATACAGCTCAAGTAGAAAAGCATCCCTGGGTTCAATCCACACTGCCAAAAAATATCAGTTACAGACTAAATCTTGCTTGTAACTTATTTAACTTATAAATGATACTAGTTATTTGTACATAAGTTATTTTTTCTTTCACTTTACATAGCATGCTTTAGTTTATATGCTTAAAGAGGAATTAAAATACTTCTGAAAGTTTTTAGATAAGTTCACAGAGCAACATAAAAACTACCAAAAAAGTTAAAATATCTTTTATTTATTCACTAATCCATTGAAATTGAAAATAGAAATTCCAAGTGTCTATGATGGTATTCAAGAAAGTAAAAATGTCACAAAACAAAATTCATTTGCCATAAAATTTGTGGAGGTGGCTATTTCACCAAATCCTTACTCTACAAATTCTAATTAAAAAGAGAAGAGAGAAATAAACAAAAGAACTATGTGTCAGGATGACCAAATAGTGCAACTGTGAAGAAAATGTCCAACTGATAAGAAAATATCAGCTAACAGAATTAATGAATTAGAAAGCCACTATTTAAAAAGAAAGTCTCTATTTTGAAGCCCCTAATGAAATAATCAACTCAAGAGGTGATCATTAGTGAAAAATAAAACACTTGGGTAAAGGTTGATTAGGAACTGGATATATACATGGCATAAAATTTACCCCGTGCTGCTGGCTCAACTCAGGGATAAATAAGGTAGGACAGAGGCAGTGACCACCATAGATCTGCACCCATCTTGCATCACTCATATTGGGACAACCAGAGATTATGATTGAAATATAATGAAATATCCTTATTTTAAAAATGAAACCTAAATCTAAGCAAGCCTTATAATGGGGCTGAATGCTATGTCCCCTCAAAATTCACATATTGAAATCCTAACCCCCAAGGTGATAGAATTAAAAGGTAAGATCTTTAGGAGATGATTATGTCATGAGCATGCAGTGTAATCCCTTATGATTAGAATTAATGTCCTTCTAGAGACACCAGAAAGCTAACTGGTCCTATCAAGACACAGAAAGAAGGTACCATTCTATGAACCAGTAGGTAGACTCTCACCAGACGCCAAAAATGCCAGCTCACACCTTGACCTTGGATTTCCCTGCCCCTAGACCTGTGCAAAATAAATTTCTGTAGTGCTTAAGCTATCTAGTTTGTGGTATTTTGCTATTGTGACCAAGTGGACCAAGACAGGCCTTTAGAACTAATGTCCAGTTAACAAGAAAAATGGGAGAAGAGTGAAGATTTAAATGACACAATTGAAAGCAATCTGAAAATTACAGAAGAGAAAACATTCTACATGACAACTGACCTGGTTCTTCAACAAATCAATATCCATAAACAGATAAAAATATATGCATACAATAGTGCTTTCTAGGTTAAGAGTCTTGAAATAAATAACCCAATGCAATGTGTCTTCCTTGCTTAGTAAAATCAAAACATCTAAGATGTTTCAGAATATCTGAAGAAATCTGAACATGTGCCATGGAATAAATGACATAAAGAAAACATTTTTATTTCATTTGGGATTATATTATAAATATAAAGGAAAATATTTTTTAAAGATCCACATTGAAGAATTTAGGGGTAATTGTCATTTTCTTTATACTTGAAAATACCTAAGCCATAAAGAATGATGCAAATGTTGCAAAATGTGTACAACCTAGGTCATGGACTCATGGATGTCATTAATTTTGTCTCCCAACTTTTATCGAACCTTGACATTTTCATAACTTAATAATAACTTTTAAAATCCCAAGTAATGCAGGTACATGTTTGAAATATATCTATTTCAAACTTTAAGATATTAAAACATAAGTAATGTAGTTTATCATTTATCAATTTCATTCTTCTGTTCTCCTCCTGAAATTATATTATCAAAGACCAATTATAGTCTTTCATAGACAATTTCTTTGTAAAATTGACTTTTCAATCAAAACCAAAATTTTTTCAGAAAGAGAATGAAGTCCATTCAGTCAGATTTACCATTCAAAGAATAAATTCTAGTTTTCCATTATTTTTCTGTCCTGTTTATGAATATCCAATAGGAAACCAAAGAGGCCAAATTATTTGGAATCAAGGTGCATCATGGGTAAGTCTAACTCAGTACACCAAGTCACAAAACAAGTGCACTCCCGTTAATTTCTATCATGCAAGACCAATTTTGTTTATAATTTTTAAGAACTTCTAGAACATGTTTCTCCTGAAGCCAACCTTCTGACTATTCACTTTACTTCAGCTCCAAGAAGGTAAACAAAATGAGGAAAAGATTGGCTAAAGTGGGTTACTTGATATTCTGAAAAATGTCTACCATTCCTTCTCCCACATCTACCCCTCTTAGAAGTAATACTTTCAGATTATTTAATAGTTGGTGCTTCTCTGTGAATTTTAGTTAGTCCTTCTGGCCTTCAAAACAACTGTTTGGTTAAATTTTAAGCACATATTAGTATATCCTATCTTCTAAAGTGAACTCCATCTTTAATGTTAAGAAATGTGTTGATCAGAGAAGACCCACTGATGTAAGAGGTTAAATAATCCTTATGATAAAGTGGGCCAAGAAATAACAAAGGACAATATATAATTTGCTTATGCAAATGAACAAATATAGCTTCAAAAACATCCTGATCCACAATAAACATTGGTCAGGCTGTATTTCTCACACTCCTTGAAAGAACTGGCCCAGGAAGGAATAGAACACTGTCATAGCTCTCCCAAGGCTCATTATCCTCCATGATTCCATGGGAATAACTTTGTCAGACAAGAGTGAAAGACCATTTGTCAACCTCTGTCCAGCTCTAGCCAACCTTCACCAATCCCAGATGAGGAACCAGGGAAAAACATGAACTTCAGATCTGCAGCAGCAGCATCTGCCAAATATCACAATTCTATCACCTATCCCAATACCACTGGCCCTGTTATTCCTAATTGCTTTGGTGTTTTGGTTTTTTTTTTTTTTTTTTAATCTTTCCCTATTCCTGGAACACTGAGAAAAGAACACTCAAGTAGACAAACATGAAGCATGAACAACCCTAAAGATTAAAAAATAAGAAGAAATAAGAAAATAAAAAGAGGAATTCTGGGAAAGAAGGAGAAAATCTAAATGACAGATAATTATTTAGTTTCACTTTTAAATATATTCATGCTCATATATATACATTTTCAAAAGAAATTTCACTCAAGGAAAAATTCTATAGATGGGGGTCTGGTTGCACTAACAAGGCTCAGATTACTTTTTAAAAACCGTGTTTCCCACAGATAGTTCAGAGACCTTGAAGTTAAGACAGTTATCCTTGAGATGCTGCCAGATTTTGAAGGAAGAAAATCAGAGTTTTGGGGGAGGGGGGTATGTCAAAGTATCCTTCTAACTGCAGGATAGGGAGGACGAGGCAAGAACAGAAAAACTCGCAATTGGAAAATTCAGATAGCAAAAGAAGACTGCAGAGGCTGTAGGAGACAGGAAAGGAAATGAGATGAAAACTGAAAAGAGTAAGAGGTATGAATTGTTGTCATACGCCAAAGGCATATTGGAGAGAAGTCAGGAATTACTTTAAGAAAACCACTCCAAATCTCATTTCAGACCATTTAGAGATGAGCTTTCAGGAGCTGAGAGTCCTGGCTGTATAGCATCAAATTGATCCACCTGATCCCTACCCTAATAATAACCAAGTTGAAGAACCAATGATCTAAAACAAACAAATAAACAGAAAAATAAAAACAAAAAACCTTTGAGGTCCATTTGCCAAATATGTAAAGGTTCAAATCTTCAAATTCTCTCTCTCTCTCTCTCTCTCTCTGTGTGTGTGTGTGTGTGTGTGTGTGTGTGTATACAATTTCATTAAATTTGACAGTCAAGATTTAGGGGTGAAGAGAATGATTGCAAGCAAAAAGGACCCAGTGCGGGGTGGTGGGGGGACTATGTTTGGAGCCTTGGAAAGAAGTCTGTGAGGGTAGTGAACACGGTTGGAACAATTTAAAACCCAGAGCTGAGGTGAAATGAAAAGAGATGAAGAAGAGAATTTCGAAAAGAAAAATAAGCAGGTGCAGGATGTGGGCAGAGACCATGCCACAGGTTGAGGAGCCTGTGAGGCTCAAAGTAGAGTGAGACCCCTCAGGGTTTTCAGGGTGATGGGTGTCTGGGGCTGTTTCAGGGCGATGATGAGGCTGTGTTCCTGATGTGCCCGAGAGGCGGCAAGGTGGTAGTGTGAGGCTGGAGGGAGAGTGGCCAGGTGGGGGCGGGGCTCACAAAAGGGGAACCGCAGACCCTGGGGAACCCCTGGAGAGAGCACCGCAGTGGTATTGTCAGGCGAGGGGCATCCAAGTCACTCACCCCATTGGCTGCGGCCATCTGCACCACGATCTCTGTGGCCGTCCTGCTGAAGTACCTGCCGTCGCTGCCCACCACCATGGTGCAGCCCTGGCGGTCGCGCAGGTCAATGGATGACAGCACGCTCTGGATGAAGTTGGGCAGGTAGTTGCGCTGGCCCTCGAAGAGGCCAGTGGGTCTCCTCAGTCCCCCGCCGCCGGTAGGCCGCTGGTCCTCGAAGGGCGCCGTGGGCACAGTCAGCACCGGGATGGGGCTCCCCTCCATGGCGCCTCCTGGCCGGTCCTGCTGCGGCTCGGTGAGTCCGCGAGCTGCAGGGAGTCTGCAGCGGGGCCCCCACTAGCCTGGCGGTGAGCCCGGACTCCGCCTCGCGCCCGGCCCCCTCCCCAGCGGGCTCAGCACCGACAGCTCCTCCTCTCTGCCCCTCCCCGAGCTGTCCCAGCAGTTCGACTTCCACCTTGGGACAAAGCTTACTCCTGCCCAACTTCTCTGTAGCCCGATCACTTGAGCTGTCCCGGGTTTCTTTTCCAAGCTGGTCTCACGTTTTGGAGTGTCACAAAAGCTGGGTTCTAGTGCCAGCTGGCTATCCAACCCACCAGGGACGCCTTGTCCCGTGCCTGCCCCTCTGCCTTCCCCGAGATTGCCTCTCTCTGAGGCACAGCCTCCTCAAGATAGCCTGGGGGTGAAAGTTTGAGCAGGGTTTGGGCTTCTCCCACACCCTTGGCCTCTTAACCTTCCTACCCGGCAGCCCTCTCTCCTGGTTTCCCTGCAAAAGGACAGAATACCCTCACAAGTTTCTCTCTGGAACAAGGACTGGGAGGGAGTTGGGAGGGGGCTGAAACCTTTTGCCATCAGCGAACAGCCCTAGCCAAAAATAACCCTGGAAAGGCGAGCTGAGAATTGTTATCTTCTGCCAGCGGTGAAACTGGAGGCTGGGCGCTGCATGTGTGTCTGTGTGTGTATATACACACCCATCTGACCATTTGTTGCAAGGAATCACACACTGTCAGGCCCTTTAATCCAGTAGGACCCGCCCTAGACTTCCACTTTCCCAAGTCTCTCTCAAGACACTATGCAGTATGGAAACTTTTTTTTTTTTCCATGTTTGTTTGTTGTGGCAGTTGCAACAGCAGTGATACAGATACATTTTTCATATTCTTCATACCCTTCTCATCATCCCTACTTAGCTCCTGCTTGGAAACAGGCTTGCTCACATTGTATCTCTCTACATTTTTTAACTGTTCACCCTCATTAATTATTTTCAAGAGGAAGAGGCTAAAGCCCTTTTAAATGTCCTAACAGGAATGAATTAACACAGCCAAATTAAATGAGAACTGGGTACCAGGTTCTATACTGGTTCTATGCTAGGTCCATATGCATCCTATATCCAGCAGGGGCTAGAGATATTCTCCCTTCTCACCATAAAACTCACTCACCTAAAATTCAAAACCAAGAAATCTCTATTGAAAATATGAATGAAAAAAGAAAAGGATAAAATCCAAAGAGGGAAGAAACAATTCTTAGTTTTGCTTCTATCTTCTATCACCCCTCAGACTTTTTTATGCTCACCAAAGCTACTGTTCTGAAATCTTCTGAGAATAATGTCCACATCCTGAGAATATCGTTGACTTGTTTGTTGCAGGGTTATAAAATGTTTGACCATAGTAAGATGACTGTGAGTAACAACTCATGGCACATACTTGCAATAAAGGCTTTGCATATGTTTTTTTCTTTGGAGGGTGAAAACAATGAAAAGAAGTAGGTATGGTATCCATGTCCCCCACCAGTTTTTCAAATGAGAAAAAGAGTTGTTTTTGAGTTTGTTGTTGTTGTTGTTGTTTTTGGTGAGGTCAGTAAAGTAGCCAAGATGGCACTTGTATTGCCAAATTTTTGTATTGTTCTCCTTTTAAATAAAATAATATTGAGGTATTATGGGAAAACTGAATTCATCAACTGAAACCTTCCGGGACTTTTAAGCCATTCTCATAAACAGGAACAAATGGATTACTTGGAGGAAAATGGGTAGTGGGGAGATGTTGATCAAGGGGTACAAAGTTTCAGTTGGGAAGAATCTGGGTTTTTTTTGTTTTGTTTTGTTTTTTGTTTTTGAGATCCATTGCACAGCATGGTGACTACAGTTAACAGTAATATTTTAAAATTGTCAAAAAGGTAATTTCAAATGTTCTCACTGTGAAAATAAAACAGATATTTGAGGTGTTGGATATGTTAGTTTAATCATTCCATATTACATGCATATACCATAACATCACATTGTATGCCATAAATATATTCAATTATAATTTTTCAATTGACGATCTTTTAAAAGCATATTTTAAGGGTTTTTTTTTTCTCTACTCTGTCCTCTGTCTCCTAGAGTCCATCCCTGTAAAGTTCCTTACTTCATATTTGTGAGTTTGAGAGACCCTTGGCTTAGCACCAAAGAGAACCTCAGAATTTCTAATGATCTCTGCATATCTCTACAGCATAGGGTTTTCTAACATTACCTTCTAATGACATTTCATTTTGCAAAGAATAGTGTCATTCCCAGAAGAAGAATGGATGTGGTAAGTCCTGTGCTCCAGTAAGGACAAGAACACTACCTCCAAGTCTCAGAGCTTCCCAGAAACCCCCCAGGACTCCATCTCCCCACTTCTAGCACTTCCCTCTCTCTGGTCATCACCACTGTTCTCTCCTACCACAGCCCAGCTTCTGCCACCATCCTGGAAATAAGGAATGGACACCACAGAACAGACTTTACTATTCTACTATCCAGGAGGTGATCCTCTTCCCTTGGGGCTAATTCCAAAATGCTGAAATTCTGGTCAGCCAGTTTGAAGCAACGTACCCAATCACATAGCGAGGTTGTGATGTAAAAATAAAAACAGTGTCTTTGAAGTAAGGGGGCAGTGTTCCCCCAAGGGAAGGAGAGGTGGGTCAGTACACAGCAATTGCCAAATACATACTTGAAACTCATGGATCAAGTCTTCTACAAATTATTTTATTCCTCTCTGAATGCATATAACACTTGCATCTCTCATAAAGAATGTTTCATAAGCTGACACACACACATGTTCATAAGTGTTTCCTCTCTATTAGTTACATGTGATCTTGAAATAATTCTGTAACCATTTCTAACCTTAATGTCCTTACCATAATGGAAATTATGGTGAGCTCTGCCTCAATTTGGGGGAAGCTTCAAGTACTTAGTACAAACAGAAAGATATTCAATAAATTCTACTTGTTCAAATTTATTGCCATCAAATTTATACTTTTATTATTAGTAATCTCTTATATAGCAAGAATTACTATAGGGGCTGGGGTTGTAGCTCAGTGGGTAGAGCACTCACCTAGCATATGCTATGCCCTGGGTTCGATCCTCAACACCACATAAAAATAAGTAAATAAAATAAAGACATTGTGTCCAACCACACCTAAAAAAATAAATAAATATTTTTAAAGAATTACTGTATATGTTTTTGTAGATCAGGACAGTACCTAAAGGGTCTTTGGACATAGGTGATATTCTACAAAAATTGGTTGAGTTAATCTGGTTTGGGGACTATGAAAACTTAAAATATATGGAGTAAATTCTCCTTGAAATGTACAAAAAGGGTTTGCCAGCTACAAAAAAAAGTCGCTTCAAAGCTGCCTTCAAATTTCATCAAGCTAATTCCAATTAATTTGTCCCAATGATGGAAAAAGGAAAACTGAGAGGGCTTTCCAGATAAGAAATGTCTCGCCCATAGTTGCTCAGAGGCAAAATGAGAAGTTTGGATTAGATCCATGTTTCCAAGGGGTTTTCTTCAGAACATTAGTGCCTCCTAAATGTTGCACAAAGCAAGTTTCATGGCCAAATAACTTTTTAAATCCTATATATTTCACACATTCCTAGAGCATCACAAGTCACAATGCACATTTCACATTAAAAGTTCTGAGAGGTCTTAGAAAGAAGACATCAGATTAACTTCTTTAAAACTAGTATTTTCCAAACTGAATTTATATTTCGGGTTTGCTGAGGGAAAGAGAGCCAGGCTAGCTTTCTAACCAGAGCCAGTGGCACCTTCCTTAACCCTTATCCCCCATGGATGGTGTCAGGGATAAATATGGTCTCAGATTCTCATGCTCATTTGCAGCATGTGTCATAACTAAGAGTAGCCCTGTTGGGCTAATGATGCCTTTCCGCCTTCTCTGAGCTACTAGAGAAAGGGATCACACTGAGAATTCTTGGCATGAAAGAGAGCAACTGACAGTCTTCCTTCCCCTGGGGACTCCCTTGCTCTCAGGATGTCATCAGCCACCAATCTTCATGCGGACAAGATTCTAGCTGGCTCAGCTAGACCAGCATTTCCCAAATGAGAATTTGGGACCAAATAAGGACTAAATACTTCATTTCTATCCCTTCTCACAGGTTTGCAAAGCATGTTAGCATATTGAAGATTCTGTGAAGCTCTGCAGGAAAGAAATCTATTTAGTTTTAGCCAAGCATTTCCAGTTGACCATGGTCCTGTTCCAAAACACCTAAAAACAGATCAATGACATTAACATTCCTTGAAACACTTTAGATCTCTGAGGATCCTTCCAGCTATATCATTCTGTGATTAATCTTTTAATTTTTGAGGCATGAAGAGATTAATTTCTATCAGGATTCTATTTAGAAGCTTATTCAATTGTGCAAAAAGGAACAGGTAAAATTGCCCAATTAAAAATAAAAAAACCCTTGAGTGATTTTGAGACATGAACTAATATATACAAATATACAGATGTACAAATATGTATAAGGATAGAATATAAAATCACATATATAATTATGCATATACATGTAATTTTATATTATATATTCTGTTCTTTTTTACCCCCTGCCTCTGATCTGCTGGCTGGCAGGAAAGCCCATGTCACTTTGGCCCACGGCAAGAGTACATGACTCCTATTGAGTCACAGTCCACTTCTGTGCACAGAGGGAATGCTAAAAACATGCTGTTGACTCATTGACTCAAAGAGCAGAGAAATGCCAAAAGTACAAGACAAGAGGCAGAAAAGCAGGTGGAAAAATGTCACAGGGCAGTCCTCCAAAGAAGCCCTAGGTCCCTTTTTAATCTGCCCAAACACCTGCTGGTGATGGAAAAGTCAAATATATATTTCAAACAACTCCTAAAATACCTTCTACTAAGCCTTCTGTTTCCCAATAAGTGAAACAACATGTGGTAATTCCAATAGAACCGGCTGCTTCTCCAATTCCTTCACTGCAGGGCCACTAAATGCATGTTCAAGTAATACAAAGGTGCAACTGTATGTCTGGTAAATGCTTGTGCACTCGTCTCAGGCTTCAGCTGTTTCCCACGTTCATCAACAACTACCTGTGTAGCCTTGAACAAGCTGGCTACCCTCTCTAACGCTCAGTTTCTGCATCTGTAAAATGTACATCATAAAAGTT